AATAAATGCCCCCAAACACCTTAAATACTGTAAAACTCTGCTTCATTAAGGAATAATATCATTATCTGTAGTCTATATGACCATCCCCTTCAATGTGTTTTAAAAATATTTAAAATTATATGTTTGCTTTAGAGTTGTTTCAGACATCTTCAGGATATTTCAGAATATTTTGTCACCACTGCTCAGGACAATTCATCCTGAGACAACTTTGTCTACCTAACAGTTAAAAGTGACTGTTAATTGATTGTACATAATGCTGTGCTTTAAAAAAAAAAAAAAACTTGATAATATATAAAGTAGGCAAAGACCAGTAACTTAGTGTAATATATTATCATGGAAAAAATAGAAATATAGTCCCCTAAAGTAATGTTATAATTTGATCTACCAAATAGTACTTGTTCAAAATGAAATACATACAGAAATAGAGAGTAAGCATTTAAAACTTTGTATAACAATTTCACATTATCATGACATTTAATCCAAATGTAATTTTGATCTGTTGAATATGGCAATAAAAAATTGCAACTTGCATTTTGCGTCTTTTAATTTCGTTCTATTAGCTTTGACAAATATAAATATTTTACAAATATCAGTTTGTGACAGGTTGGAAATAAAAATGGTTCCCACCACAGGTGGCTTGAGGAACTTTGCTCTAAAATCTCTAATGCCAATAACTACTTCCTGAATATGTAAATATAATTTCATCAAGCATGAGTGTTAACAGATTGAGTGTTGAAATCTTGTTCACAAGTTGTTACCTTTTCTAGAATCATGTATATATAATTGTTATGTTATGTATCCAACAGAGACCCAGACATAATATTTGATCATGATATGAGCAATAGTGTTGTCCTCTCTTTGTCTTCATTTGCTAAGGTTCTTCAAAATGTTCTGAAGTTGTTCCAAACTACATTTAAAAAGTGAGTGAGTACCAGCAAATCTAACACCAAAAACCCATGGGAAGTGAAGTCATGAAATGAATGTTTACATATTCTTACATAAAATGGCAAGGTCTCAGCTCCCATTAATAATGGGGCGGGTACCATTCTAACTTCTTCACAGTCTTTTGACAAAGCTAAATAATAATAAATCGAGAAATCCCTATACAGATGAAAAGATACAGACAGACCAAATGGAGGAGTTACTTATGGTGACACGGTCAGTTAAATGTAGTAGATGTATGAATCACAGTCATACATTTTACAGATCACCCGCTGCAGAGGAGTCGTTCAGTGATGGTGCGTGAGATGCCAGCTAAGGCCAGGGGCCCCCTTTTTTGGCAGCCTTAACTTTGTGTCTAAACTAAGTAATGAATATGCAAAAGTGAATAAAATAAGATATGCAGAGATATTCTTTTCTGTACTAATAGTTCTTTGAACTGCAAACTTCTGCCTACCATTCTCTGGAGTTTATGGGGAAAGGCAGTATGAAGCATTGGGAAGGACATTAGACCAGGAATGAAGGGACAGGGTTTCTATTTCCAGGCCCGTTACTAGTTAGCTGGGTAGCCTGGAGTAACTCATAAGCACTACTCCAGTCTCTATCTTCCCCCGTCTGTTAAATGATCCGATTGGGTGAGCTGCCCCTTCAGCTCCATTCTGGAGCTCAATGATCAGGAAAAGTGAAAAACAGTTTGGTAAAAGATTCTAGATTGTAGGTATCACATGAGTTATGTTTTTTTACAAATTTAAAAGGCATAGTCTTTCAGGTTCACAGTGCCAAAGAGCCTTTCAAAAGAAACCATCTGTTTACATAAATCTGATACATAAATAATAAAAACATAGATGTATATATTATTTTAAAGTTCATTCTATATAGAAATTAATTTATATTGTCAAGTCAACAAATATATTTGTTCAAGACTTGTATTTCAAAGGAGAGAATGACTTAACGAATAACACTGCCCAACACTATAGTCTTTCTATGAACACAAATCAAGGAATGACACTCTCCAATTCTGTACTGTCTCTGTGAATACAGATTAAGGAGTTGGCTTTGCTCTTTGAATTTTAATTCAGAAAGTGGCTTGCTGGGCAGTCTCTTGTGTACTAAGCTCTGTCTGTTGCACTCTGTTTTGAGAAGGTGCAAGTAAATGAATCAGGATACACTGGTCTAATGCTACTTGAAAGATGAAAAGATTGTACAGAATGCTGGCATAAGGGGATTGTTTGCTTATGGCTGCTTATCCTCATTTAGGACAAGGGGGAGCAGAACATCAGGCAAATTCCCACCCATTCCTGGGACTACCATATGTTGCAGTCTGCTCTCTGGGCTAAAGCAGGAACTCCCACTGGGACTTGAGTTGACCTGGAAGTGTAAGATCCAAAAATCACACTATGAGAAAGTTATTCTTTTCTCAACTCTGATTCTTCCCAGGAAAAAGACTCTGTCTGGTCCTAGTGTAGTCAATACCTCTCCTAATTACAGATCTCATTTGTAACTAAGAGAGAGTCAACCACCAAGGTCAAAATCTTCTGTGAAGAAGCAATATCTAATATAATTTAATAACATTAATTTGTTACCAGTTTTGGTAGTAACCTACTTATGCCAAGTGATCCTGGCCTTTTAGCTACACAGCAACATAACATAACGTTGTCTTTTTAAATGGGTTTACTTAAGCCCAAAGGTATTTTGATGTAAAGAAAAGTATTAAGTAAATAAAATCAGTACATGGCTGGCACATTTTCTAAGATGATATGCAAATGATTAAAGTGTGGATAACACTGGACTGGACTAGTGGAAAATGCACTGAGATGGAAGATAGAAAACCTGACTAAATTTAATTTGAACCCTGTCACTAATTATCAAACTGTCTTCAGGTAAGATGATGAAAAATCCGTGCCTCCATTTCCTCATTATCCAATAACTATGATGCTATTGGCTTACCTGCCTTTGGAAAGATGATATGAAGATTAAAATTAGAGGATGGGTAGTAAAATAATATAAAGGTGAAAGTTGTATATGCATAGGCTTGTTATTATGTATCTGAAATACCACTTTTTTTTAGTCACCCCCATTGGGGGTGGGGTTCATGTCACTTAGGAAAAAGTACTATCTCTGTTTTCTCTCTAGGATCATATCATTAATTAGTGATGTGTGTGTGAGAGAATGAGAGAAACTGACCACAGTTATACAGTTTCTCCATTTAAACTATATTCCCAAATGCTAAAGTTGTGTTGTATTTTTTGATCGATTGCATATTTATTTGCAGAGATTTCCCTGGTGATCAAAAAGCTTGAAAACTAAACTGTGTTTCAGAAAGAACCTAATAATAGATCTTATTCACCTCAAAGCCTAATAAAAATATTATGACCTGCATGAATATTTAGAACTGCTAAATATAATGGAGTTTACTGTCATGCCAAACTTGTTTCTTGACCTGTAATAGTAATTGGAATTGTGTTCATTGTGCTTAAAACCTCAAATTTCTACAGAAGATATCATCTCTTCACAACAGATATTTTTACTGTTACATAATCTCATTTGCTGCAGACTTCAGAACTGCTTTTCCCATTGTGATTGTGTTTCTTGTTTTAATTAAAATATTAAAATTTAACTATCTGATCTATTTTAATATTAACTAATCACGTCAAGTTTTTGGCTGTGCGTTATTTTGAGACATATAACAGTTCCAACATATAAATTCAGCCTGTGAAATAGCAAATATTCCTGTACTTGGAAATAATGCTGGCAGGTTGTTTGATTTCCCATCCTATTAAAAAAGCTTATTTAAGCACTACTGCTTCATAATCTCATTCACGTGTAAATATTTAGTTGCATTCTGTGGCAGTGAGTGCCACACTTGAGCGATCATCAGAGATCACCTGAAGGGTTTCTCAAAATACAGGTCATTTGGCCCACCCTCAAGTTTCTGATCCTGGGGTGGGTCCTGAGAATTTACATCACTGGCAAGTTCCCAACTGATGCTGAGGCCGATGATAAATGATGTTCTAGGACCATACTTCTTTTCCCCCATTGATTCAGTGGAAAGCAATATAGTAAGACAGGGAAACCCCCGAATTTGGGGGGTGCCCCCCAGGTTTCAGCCCTGGCTTTGACGTTTACGAGCTATGTATCTTAGACAAGCTGTGGCTCAATTTTGTCCTCTTTAAAATAGTAACAATTATATATACTGGGAATATTGAATGAAATAGTCTTTATCAAGGATTTTAAACAATGCCTAGTGTGTTGTGACAGGCTTCCCAGGTAGCACTACTGGTAAAGAACCCACCTGCCAATGCAGGAGATGTAAGAGATGTGGGTTGGATCCCTGGGTTGGGGAGATCCCCTGGAGGAGGTCATGGCAACCCACTCCAGTATTCTTGCCTGGAGAATCCTACAGACAGAGGAGCCTAGCAGGCTATGGTCTATATTGTCACAAAGAGTTGGACATGACTGAAGTTACTTAGCACGCACGCACACACGACTATGATCAGTCTCTAAATGCAACATTAGTAACTAGTGGTGAAGGCAATCAGACTGGTTATGGAACCACCGGTTAGTGGTCATAGAATATACATGCTTGTGAGTGAAGTCGCTCAGTCGTGTCTGACTCTTTGCGACCCCATGGGACTGTAGCCTACCAGGCTCCTCAGTCCATGGAATTTTCCAGACAAGAGTACTGGAGTGGGTCGCCATTTCCTTCTCCAGGGGATCTTCCCAACCTGGGGATTGAATCCGGGTCTCCCGCATTGCGGGCAGACACTTTACCCTCTGAGCCACCAGGGAAGCCCAATACCTTTGTTCAGTTACAATAAAAGTTCATTAGTCTTTTCTAAGGGAGACTGGACAGAAAGCTTGGTTGTCACAGATGACATTGTTTCTATGAGAAGCATTCTGGCCCTTAGGAATTCAGTGAAAAGAAATACGGCCCTTACTGAAAGAACTTGAGCAGAATGTTGGAGATTGGAATCTAGATGGCAATGTAAGGAAAATGTATCCATTTGTGCAGTGTTTCTCTATATTCAGAACTTACCACATGTGTTTCTTTTTTCCCTTAGCAACAAGAGCAAGACCCAACAAACCTATACATCTCAAATCTCCCCATTTCTATGGATGAGCAGGAACTTGAGAATATGCTGAAACCCTTTGGACATGTCATTTCCACGAGAATACTAAGAGATGCTAATGGAGTCAGCAGAGGCGTTGGCTTTGCCAGGTAAAACACCTGCTCTTTCCTGAGTATTCACTTTTAATTCCATCCCTTTCTAGCATTAGAATAGTGCTGGAATGTAGAATATTCAAAGAGAAGTAGCTTATCAAACTGACTCTGTATCTTTGCTTTGAGTTAGAGAATTCCAATGCAACTATAAATAAGGTGTTCCTGCTAAAATATGTACACGGAATGTTTATATCTGTCACACATCATAATGAAATGCCTAACACTTTCCCAGTCCTCTCTATGCCTATAGATCAACAAAATCAGATGCTGTCAATCTCACTAAGGGTAATAAATGCTCAGAACCCCAAAGTCAAAGACCCCACAGGCTGAACAAAGCATCCACATGATTTAACATTGATTTCCAAAGAGCTAGATGGTAGAATTTCTCAGCCAGGGGAAGAGAGAAGATTCAGAAAAACAGGAATTGTTGGGAAGTCCCAAGGAACTCAGAAATCTAAGAGGAGGTGAAGAGGGCATTTGCATTTAAGAGGCCCTTGCTGCGAGCTTTTGATGTTTTAATCAAAACAAAAAAGGACAAATTGCACTTTTCTCATTGTTGGAAAAAGACGAGTAGTTTTCTTTTTAACTTTAAGGGAATGTTTACCAAAGGGGATCTCAGCCAGAAATGAAGTTAAAATGGTTGTACCTGCTGTGCTTTCATGAAAGGAAAACAAAGTGAAGGAAACTGCAGAGAGAAAGAAACTGCTCAATGGCACAGAAGAAAAGGAAGAGCCGTGTCTCCAAGGTTGGGTGTGTTTATGTGTCTTCAGCGGACTCAACGTGAATGAATGGATGGATGTTACATGTCATCTGGAAGCCAGCCCTTTGCAGACAGGCACGTCTGCCTGTGGGGAACCCTGCCATCTCTCAGAAAAATCATCTCAAACCAAGTTCTGTGAACACACTCGGAAAGATACGAAAACACAATTGTTAACTAATCTCCACCTTGACTTCCTGGAGGTCATGGACCAAGTCTAAATGTCTACACAGTGTTCTACACATACTAGCCTGGGAGACCTCTACAGATGCATGTTTTATGATTTGAAGAGAAGTCAGCAGAATCAAGAACATATCCCAGACATGAATATATTCATGAGGCATTCAAGTTTTCAGAACATTATTAACTGTTGATTTTAATGGTCAAGGCAGAGCTAATCAGACCACAGGGGTCTCTGAAATTTGCCAATGTAGTCATTCTTGGAGACGGTACTGGCTGATCTTGGAGGCTTGGCACTGCAGGATTCAGTGAACGCCTGCCTGCCACATTCCACTCCACATAGCGTATCCCTGCCGGCCCAAACCTCCCTCTAACAAATCAGTTTCTCCTTCATGTGTGGTGCTGCTGAGAAAGAAATGTTTCAGATTCATCAAGTGAACACCTTTTTCCAAGAAGGTCTATTTTTTTAAGAATTATTTTTAAGCAAAAGATTTTTGGTACAAAGTATGAATATATTAGTTTATTCAGACAGTCATAGCAGAATTTAACAGACCAGGTAGCTTTAAACAACAGACACATATTTTCTCTTAATTCTAGAGGCTAGAAGTTCAAGATCAAGGTGGCAGTAGGGTTTGGTTTCCTCTCTGCATTTTGTATCAATAGATGGTCTTCTTTTCCTGTATCTTCACACAGTCTGCCCTTTGTGTGTGTTCTGAGTCTCTTCTTGGCGTCTTCCCATCAGTCAGATTGAGTTGGGATCCACCCATTATATATACACGATTTATAATCCAGTCTCCTGGAATAAACCATAATGGAAAAGAACTTTTAAAAAAGAATGTATATATGTGTAAAACTGAGTCACTTTGCTGTGTAGCAGAGATTAATATAACAGTGTAAGCCAACTATACTCCAAGTAAAAAGTTAATGAACTTAATATAAAAATGTTTATATACACACACACACACAACTTCATTAATCTATTATTGATGGACACAGTTCTTTACATGCCTTTGTCATCATAAAAATACTGCTAGGAACAGGTGGGTGCATGTATCTTTTTGAAATACTGGTTTTGCTTTCTTCTGATGTACATACATGAATGGGATTGCTGGATCACGTGGTATTTCTGTTTGTAGGTTTTTGAGTACTTTGCATTCTGTTTTTCAGTGCATGTGCCAGCTGACATGCCCACAGTAGTGTGCAAGAGTTCCTTTTCCCCCACATCTTGCCAACATTTGCTATTCATGTTCTTTGATGATAGCCATTCTTACAGATGTGAGGTAACATCACATTGTGGTTTTGATTTAGAACTCTCTGCTGACTTGTGATGTGGAGCATCTTTTCATTTGTTTGTTGGCCATCTTGACATCTTTTTGTGAAAAATGTCTATTCAGGACTTGTGTCCATTTTAAAATCTAGTAGTTCAGTTTTGGATATTGAGGGTTTTTTAATATATTGAATTTGTATGTTTTGGATATTAAGCCCTTATCAGTCATATCAGTTGCAAATATTTTCTTCCATTCAGAAGGTTGTCTTTTTGTCAATGGTTTCCTTTCCTGTGTAAAATCTTTAAAGTTTAATTAGGCCCCGTCTGTTTATTTTGCTATTATTTTCTTGGTATTAGAATTATCCACACACACACACACAAAATTGCTGTGATTTACATCAAAGAGTATTCTGTCTGTGTTTTCTTCTAGGACCTTTTTATGGCTTCTGGTCTTACATTTAGGTCTTTAATACATTTTGTATATGATGTGAGAAAATTTCCTAATTTCACTTTTTTTTTTTCATGCAGCTGTTCAGGTTTCCCAACACAACTGTAGGTGAATTGACCATTAGTGTGTGAATTTACTTCTGGGCTCTATTCTGCTCCACTGATCTATGTATCTGTTTTTATGCCAGTACCTCACTGTTTTGATTTCTGTAGTTTTGTACTATAACCTAAAGTCAGGGAACATGACACCTTCCAGATCTATTCTTTATTCTCAAGATTGTTTTTGGCTATTTGGGGTCTTTTATGCTTCCATAAAAAATTTAAAACTATCTGTCCTGTTTCTGTGATAATTGTTACTGGCATTTTGATAGGGATTGCACTGAATCTGTAGATTGCCTTAGGATGCAGAGTGATTTTAACAGTATTAATTATCTCCCAAGTTCTTTGATCATCTTTGCTAACGTTACCTTGAACTCTTTCTCAGATAGATATCCACTTAATTTTTCTTCTGGGTTTCATCTGTTCTTTCATTTGGAGTATGTTCTTCTGTTGCCTGCTTTTTCTTAAATTGCTGTTTTATTTCTGTGTATCTGGTGGGTTGGCTGTGTTCCCGACCTCGCAGGAGACATCTTGTGGGTGGTCCGCTTGCCATGGCTCGACCCAGTCCAGGTGATTGCCAGGCCCTGCCCTTTGGAGGGGCTGCTGGCTGGCAGGGGTGGGTCATGAGGCGGCACGCAGCAGAACCCGATGGGACCCTGGGGCTAGTGCCGGCTTACTGATGGGCGAAGTCAGGGTCCAGGAGTCCCAGGACTGGTGCCTGCCTACCAGTGAGTGAAAGAAAGTTAAAGTGTTAATCACTCAGTATGTCTGACTTTCTACGAGCCATGGACTGTAGCCCACCAGCCTCCTCTGTCCATGGGATTCTCCGGGTAAGAATACTGGAGTGGGTTGTCATTTCCTCTTCCAGGGGATCTTCCTGACCCAGGGATCAAACCCACATCTGTCTTGTATGTCTACTACATTGGCAGCTGAGTTCTTTATCACTCGCGCCACCTGGGAAGCGGAAAGTAAAGCCAGGTCCTATGGCCAGTGTCATCTCCCCGGTGGGCAGAGCCGCGTCCTGGGGTCTGGCTGTAGGGCCCAGGCGTGGTTTCTGAGAGAGCTTGCTGTGGGGTGTGGAGTGTCTTGAGGCTTGTTTTGGCTTGCTGGTCTGTGGGCCTGAACTGGTGCTGACCTGCTAATGGGTGGGTAAGTCCTGCCACAGAAGGCGACAGGGCTTTGTCGGTTGTCCTGGGACTGACGTCTGCCCTCTGATATGGCAGGCTGGATAGCAGAGTCCCTGGCTGCAGGTTCTTAGGGATTCCAGGTCTAGTCCCTGTGTGTTGGTGTGAAGGACTGGGCCCCAGGATCTCTGGTAGACAGGGCTATGTCCAGGTGTGGCTGTGGGCTCAGAGCTTCTTGCAGTGCCTGTTTGCTGGTGGATGGGGCTGGGTCCCATCCCAGTTAGTCGGGCTTCCAGTACTGGTGCCCACAGGCTGGTGAGTGGGGAGAGAGCTGAGTCCCGAGGCTAATATACTAGAGGGAGGCTTCCACTATGGCACGTTCCAGCACCAGTGTTATTAAGGCATAAAGAGCTCCCAGCTTCTCCATCCACAGGGGGAGTCCCAGTTGCCTCCTGTCTCTCCAGGGGACTCTCTAAGATCAGTAGGTGGGTCTGACTGAGGCTCCTTTCAAATGACTGCTTCTGCCCCGGTTCCTAGAGTGTGTGAAATTTTGTGTGCTCTCTTTAAGAGCGGAGTCTCTATTTCCTCCAGCCGTTATGTAAAAGCAAGCCCCACTGGCCTTCAAGCCCAGATGTTCTGTGGGTTCCAGCTTGGGGAGTCTAATGTAGGTTTCAGACCACTTGCTCCTTGGGAAGAACTTCCACAGTTGCAATTACCCTCTTATTTATGGTTATCCGTGCCCACGGATGGGCACAATTCTTGACTATACTGTGACTCTGTCCCTCCTGTTTCATTCTGGTTCCTTCTTTTTTTTTTTTGTTTGACTTTTTGAGTTAATTATTGTTTTATTATTATTATTCACATTTTATAATTATAGAAAAAATGAGGGCAAGAGAAGTTAAAATCCTATATAAAATCTTACAGAAGATAAGCAGGAGACCCTACCGATAGGTTCAGGTACAGATGAACAAAAGCCCATGTTCTCAAAATCACAGGGATTATAGTGATTTTGGTGTGCTTCTAGGAGGAAGTGAGCTCAGGGCTTTTTTTTTTTCCTTTCTGTCTTGGGAAACAAAATTCCAGATGTGGTTCTTTTTTTCTTAATTTATTTTTAATGGAAGGA